CTCCGGGTCATCACTGAGGTACCCGTCATCCTCATCCTCCTCTTCTTCTTCCCCTTCAGCAGGAACCTCTGGAGCTACGGCCGGGGACGACACCTCATCCGTGTTCTTCTTCTCCTCCCCTGCTTCAGTAGACCCCTCCGCAGTGCGATCCTCCAGGGACGAGAACTTCAAACCATTCAACTTCTTCACCAGCGAGATGCGCGTTTCATCCGCGAAAGGGCCTCCCACTTCCTTCAGCATCGGACGAGGCGTCGCTGGCTCCGAATGGTGACGAGGTGGGGGTTTATTGCACGGGACACCTACGGGGGGAGGGGGAGGGGGGGCAAGAGGAAGGAAGGGAAGATTAGAACGAAAACTTATTGGGGGGGAAATTATGGATTGTACCGCCTCGGATGTCTGGTTGTCAGATGTCAGGTGGGACTCCTCGAGTCGCGCTGATGTCAGACAAACTGCAGCATACCTGGCACAGCACAACATCATACCAAGCTAGCTTCGCCGCGGCACATCGTACTGTACCGCGGCTAATCGAATTGTACCACACCCCATCGAAACCAACCAGGCGCGGCATACCGTGCCGGGCTTTTCGAGCCTATCAGCATGATATACCTCAACGCGTGCATTCCCCGCCCGTTTTCGCCGCACAGAACCGACAGGGTTCCATTTCAGCTCGCCGTCCGACCGTCGGAAATTGTATGGCAGACTGGGGCACGGAGCCCTAGGGAACGCCGAACGACCGTCGACATTCCCGTGGGCTGAGAAATACCCACAGAGTATATCTCAACGCGTGGCGAGTTGCCAGCAGGACACGTCGACCGCGGATGCACGACACGCGGCGGGTTACGGACGACCTGGAAATGTCGGCGTTATGTCCGTTATGTCTGACCTCCCTCGAATGTCGGCGTCCACACTGGCGTCCACGCGTCACCCGACCACGCCTCAAGCGTCGCGCGGGAAAGAACGTGCGGGCCGTGAAAATGTCGGTGCGTGACACGCGGCGTCAATCGGCGTCACGGGGTAAGTCTACGTGGAAGAAATCGGCGGTCAAATTGAGCGCTGAAGAGGAACAGGTGGGCACCGAAATGTCGGCGAGCATCGATCGGCGAGGCAGGGTCCAGGTGTCGAGCATCGGCGGCCTGGCACGTGCACAGGAATCAGACGTGGGGGCAGGATAAATGTCGGCGCCGGACACGCGGCGTACATCGAACGGCGATGCCGGGTCCAAGTGTCGAACATCGGAGGACTATTTCTTGCGCGGGAAAACAGAACCCGCGGTGTCCGCAAAGTCGGCGTCGAAGTATCTCGTGATGCCAATCACCGGTGGCACGAGTGCGCCATGAATGGACTCTGGACCAATGCCACAAGCCTCGGCGCGCCTTGTATTGTTGCCGTGGCATGCCTTACGAAACACCTTCATGGACAGTCACGGCCGCGTTGTAGTGGCCATGCGAGAGCCGTGGCACGTCGGAGAATGCGCCGCCTCGCGTGGACAGCGGCATGAATGCCAAGTGTACAGAACCTTGCCTGCACGGTGGCATGTGCCGAGCCGCGCACGTCCATGACCTCTCCGGAGCCAAGCTGCCACTAGCCATTTTTCCTACTCCTACTTCCTTTCGTCACTTCTTACGCCTGCGCTCTCACACTTAGTTTTTTTCCACCAGGACACGCTCTGCGGAGAACACCGCGGCTCCGGCGTCTGACGCCGACCAACAGGTGAGACCGATTATCGGGGCACTGGGTTTCGTTCGTCGTAGCAGCCGATTTCACAGTTTCGTCGCCCGTTTTAAACGGGAGACACAATCGGCCAGATCCGTGGAGAAAGGCCGAGACTGGTTTAGGGTTGCGCTGTGCGTGGTCGGCGACCGGCCTGGTGCAACGCCTCCGGAAACAAACCCATCTGAGGGGGACATCGCCGTGTCAGAAGTAGTAGTAGAAAGAAAGAATGAAGAAAGGAGGAGGTTCACTAGCAAGCAGTTGAGTACATATAGGAAACCCTAGATTGGGCTGTACTCGCTATAGAGTACCCCACTGCAGGCTAGACAAATACAACATTCTGACACACCCCCATAGCCAAAGTGGGGTGTAATCAGCACAATGAGCAGGTATAGCAGGAGTTCACAATAAGAAGCAAAGCTAGAGGTAATCACAGCGGGCAAGTGAGGAGGAGGAGGGACTGTGAGAGGAGAGAAGATGAGAGACGGCGGCTGAAGCTGCAGACACACGGGCAACAGGAGCTGCTGGCACAGTGGCTACCGGGACAGTGCGCCCCGGACTACTGGAGTAACTGGCTCACGGGCTACGACGAGCTACAGGAGCAACGGACCCTCGGGCGACAGGCGCAGCAGACTCTCTGGGCTACCAGGACAGTGCGCCCCGGACTACAGGTGCTGCGGACGACAAGACAGCAGCCTCCGCTCAACCTCCTCCAACTGTCCCACACACCCCCCACACACCCACTGCTTCACTCCTAACTCCACTTGCACGTCACCCCCCTAGTACCACTCCTTCGGCTCCCACACACCCACCCCCCTCAGCGGCAGCTGCAGCACTGGGAGACGGAGGAGGAGGAGGAGTAGGGGACGACGCACAGAAACTGCACCCCCATACCCCCCACCCCCAAACCCTAATTCAGGAGAACGGGCAGCAGCAGGGGTGGGGCGCCGTCAGAAGCACGGGGGACAGCGGGCAGCGCAGGGGCAGAGAAAACAGGGCGCCCACGGGCCTGGCGCAGCCCGTACGAACCGCGTGCGGGCGGCCCGAGGCGCGCCATGGCCTGGCGCAGTCCGTACGGGCCGCGCGCGGGCCTGGCGCTGCCCGTACGGGCCGCGCGCGGGCCTGGCGCAACCCGTACGGGCCGCGCGCGGGTCTGGCGCAGCCCGTACGGGCCGCGCGCAGGCTGTACGGGCCGCGCGCGGGCCCTACGCAGGTCGCGCAGGCCGCGACGGGCGACGGGGGGCGACACGCGGGTCCCCGTCGCCCGTCGCAGCGCCTCCCGGGAGCGACGCGCGGAGTGACGGGGCAGAAAGCCGCCGCGCGCCTCGGGGCGCACGGCGGGCAGAAAACCGCCGCGCGCCTCGGGGCGCACGGCGGGCAGAAAACCGCCGCGCGCCTCGGGGCGCACGGCGGGCAGAAAACCGCCGCACGCTCCGAGCGCGCGGCGGGATGAAAAATCCGTCGCACGCCACGGGGCGTGCAACACACAGAGTAGCAGTAGCAGCGGAAGCAGTGAGGTGGTGGGCCCACCCACAGGATCGACCCAAGGGGATCGACCTGCTCTGATAGCATGTCAGAAGTAGTAGTAGAAAGAAAGAATGAAGAAAGGAGGAGGTTCACTAGCAAGCAGTTGAGTACATATAGGAAACCCTAGATTGGGCTGTACTCGCTATAGAGTACCCCACTGCAGGCTAGACAAATACAACATTCTGACACACCCCCATAGCCAAAGTGGGGTGTAATCAGCACAATGAGCAGGTATAGCAGGAGTTCACAATAAGAAGCAAAGCTAGAGGTAATCACAGCGGGCAAGTGAGGAGGAGGAGGGACTGTGAGAGGAGAGAAGATGAGAGACGGCGGCTGAAGCTGCAGACACACGGGCAACAGGAGCTGCTGGCACAGTGGCTACCGGGACAGTGCGCCCCGGACTACTGGAGTAACTGGCTCACGGGCTACGACGAGCTACAGGAGCAACGGACCCTCGGGCGACAGGCGCAGCAGACTCTCTGGGCTACCAGGACAGTGCGCCCCGGACTACAGGTGCTGCGGACGACAAGACAGCAGCCTCCGCTCAACCTCCTCCAACTGTCCCACACACCCCCCACACACCCACTGCTTCACTCCTAACTCCACTTGCACGTCACCCCCCTAGTACCACTCCTTCGGCTCCCACACACCCACCCCCCTCAGCGGCAGCTGCAGCACTGGGAGACGGAGGAGGAGGAGGAGTAGGGGACGACGCACAGAAACTGCACCCCCATACCCCCCACCCCCAAACCCTAATTCAGGAGAACGGGCAGCAGCAGGGGTGGGGCGCCGTCAGAAGCACGGGGGACAGCGGGCAGCGCAGGGGCAGAGAAAACAGGGCGCCCACGGGCCTGGCGCAGCCCGTACGAACCGCGTGCGGGCGGCCCGAGGCGCGCCATGGCCTGGCGCAGTCCGTACGGGCCGCGCGCGGGCCTGGCGCTGCCCGTACGGGCCGCGCGCGGGCCTGGCGCAACCCGTACGGGCCGCGCGCGGGTCTGGCGCAGCCCGTACGGGCCGCGCGCAGGCTGTACGGGCCGCGCGCGGGCCCTACGCAGGTCGCGCAGGCCGCGACGGGCGACGGGGGGCGACACGCGGGTCCCCGTCGCCCGTCGCAGCGCCTCCCGGGAGCGACGCGCGGAGTGACGGGGCAGAAAGCCGCCGCGCGCCTCGGGGCGCACGGCGGGCAGAAAACCGCCGCGCGCCTCGGGGCGCACGGCGGGCAGAAAACCGCCGCGCGCCTCGGGGCGCACGGCGGGCAGAAAACCGCCGCACGCTCCGAGCGCGCGGCGGGATGAAAAATCCGTCGCACGCCACGGGGCGTGCAACACACAGAGTAGCAGTAGCAGCGGAAGCAGTGAGGTGGTGGGCCCACCCACAGGATCGACCCAAGGGGATCGACCTGCTCTGATAGCATGTCAGAAGTAGTAGTAGAAAGAAAGAATGAAGAAAGGAGGAGGTTCACTAGCAAGCAGTTGAGTACATATAGGAAACCCTAGATTGGGCTGTACTCGCTATAGAGTACCCCACTGCAGGCTAGACAAATACAACATTCTGACACGCCGCGCAATTGGCGCAAGCTTCTCTCGCCGCCCGCTTAGAGACAGACACTAGGGTCACTAGGTCACTAGAAGCGAACACAACGCAGCAACAGTACGCCGCCGCCGTTACCCAATACCGCCATTTTATGCCCGACCCGCCGACCAATTCGCCGGCTGGCCCTCAGTAGACAACAAGCGCTGTTAGGACATACGGCCGAGGCCAACATGTCGGACTACGTTGCGCTGGCAGCCCAGGCGCGGGTGAACCTGACCGGTGACGCCACAACGCCGGCCGGCGTCCGCCCCACCACCATTCCGGCAGTGACGCTGCGTCTGATTTACGATCTAGATGCGTTGGCTAAAATTCCCGTCGACCCTGACATTCCGCCGCCACCTGTAGGCGACCCCCAAAAGCGACGTCCTAGCCAGCCGGAGGAGGACTCTTCGTCTAGCGATGAGGAGGAGGAACCCCAGCCCGGCCCGGGACCTAGACGCCAACGTCGGCCGCTCACTCGAGCCGAGAGGGATCGAAGAGAGATAGAGGAGGCATTGGCCGAGGACGAACTCGAGGATAGGCTGAACGCGAGCGTCCCGCGAGGAGAGTTTACGGCGGCTGAGTTTGTGGTCGAGGATCTGAAGAACAGCGACATCGAAGTGCTGATAGCCAATGCCCTTCGCCACACGGAGACGCTCGAGGAAGGGTCGTCGCTACGGCAGTACATATCGTGGATACTAGACTACAAGCGGTGGGCGGTGGATGCTCTTCCGTCAGAAGGTGACGACCTGGAGCCGGGGTCCATACTCACTGACAAGGACGAAATCGGCAAGCACATCGGCGATGATTTGGGCGAACGTTGGCACACCGCCCCGCGCCAGTTCATCTGGTTGCACGGCCCGAGGACCAACGAGCCTCGAATTCGCGCTTACGTCTTGTTCAGAGCGCGAGAGACCCTCATCGAGGCAATGAGGAGCGAAGAGGGCAACACCGCCATGCGCACGCAGCCGATCAAGCCTTGCACGGTCAACATGCTACTCGGCCGCATCAAGGCCCTTCAGATGGCGGCCAAGATAGAGGCGACCCTGTACAAGGAGAAGGAGCTGCACATCATGCAGGACATCTCGGTCGTCCGCACGGAAGTGCGCGTCATGGTTCGTGGAAAGAACAAAGCCGACACCAAGTAAGATGTTTTAACATCGCCGACTTTGCCAGTCCTCTCTAGTATTCCCGCCAATGCGCACCGACGCCGCTCACACTCAATCATCACCCTCGCACTCTCCTCTTGTGCAGAAAATATGTCGACCGACATCGCGGAACCATCGGCGACACTTACACCACCGAGCAGTTCCGCAAAATCATGTTCAAGGTGTTGCCGCACTGGTCGGCGACGGCGTGGAATCCGGGGGGAACAGGTCCTTCCCAGACTCTGTGGAAGTTCATGCTTATGAGAACGATGACCCTGCTATCGCACCACACTCTGCTCCGCGGTGCCAGCGTACGCGAGATCACGCTCGCCGACATCTTTCTGTACCGCCTTGCTAGCGGGTCGTCGGTGAACCCTGACAACCGGCCAATGGTCATGGTCATCGCGCAGCGCAACTCGAAGGCGTGCAAGGACGCCCGTCTTCATCACAGCTACGCGGCGAGGCACTTAGAGGCGGAACTGTGTGCTGTGGGCGATACAATCCTCTGGCTGCACTTCATCTACGACCAGGTCCCCCAGATCTTCGGCGTCCGCACGGCCGCTGGACGTACGCCGACCGGAGCTCTGGTACGACAAGCATCTCTTCTTCGCCCGCTACGACAAGGATCAGGGTTTGCTGCCGTCGTCGAGCCAGCAACGAATCACTCGGCAGCTGTGGACGGCCAACAAGGTTTTCATCAAGTGCAACGTGCACACCGCTCGCGCCGGCGGGGCACAAGAGCTGGTTGACCAAGGCACGCCGCGCGCCGAGATAGCCGAATTGGGTCACTGGGCTATTGACAAGATGACGAGGAGTTACATCACTTCAATTCCAGTCGGGGTGGTGATGAGGAAGGCCGGCTACTCTGGAGCCCGAAGCGACTACTTCCTGGGCCGCAGCAGGCTACCTCCCAGCGCAGACCTCGAAAAAACCATCGCCGCGCACATATTTCCCGGCGTCGAGGAACAGTTGGGGGCGGTGAGTGTAGCGACGCCGTCCTCATGCATCTTGTCGTCTCTCTTCACTGGTTCACACCGACATTCCTCTATTTCATGCAGGCGGAAGAGCTTGCACAAGGGCCTGAGGCGAACACGGCCGCGGTGCACTTCATCCAGACCATGCTGGATGCACGCCGCATTGCGGCCGAGGACCTCGCGGTGAAACTCGTCCGCACTCCGTGGCACCCTCAGGTCCAGGCTTCGAGGCTTTGTCGGGATCGCGACTTTCAGGCGTGGGCGAAGGACATCGAGAAGATTGACACCGAGACGATCGCCAAGCGCCGGTCGCCGATCCCGACCCAGCCAGCTGTAAGCACAAGATGAACTCCGCGTGACTTGGCGGCAAGCGTGCTTGCATCACCTGACTCCTAACCCGCTCCGCTGCTGTTCGCTGGAAATCTCAGCCCGCCTGGACGCCGAATTTCAGGTCGACCTTCTGAACGAGACGCTGGCCCACGAGAGGCACAAAGCGACGCTCAAGCAGATGAAGGTGGAGAAGGAGCTCGAGGAGGCGCGTGCTGCTATCGCGGCGAGGGACGCCGAGATCTCCCGGCTGATGGAGGAGCTCAAGATCTCCGAGGCACGTAGGGCGCCAGCGCCACAGGCGCCTTCTAGGCCGACGACCCTGGAAGAGGAGGCAGCTGCGGCCGCTAAGCATGCTCAGTTGGACGCCGAGGCTCGCTACGAGGCCCTGGTTGTCGACCCATGGAGAAAGGCCGAGACTGTGGTAGAGGCCTGGCGCTTCTGGAACTGCCCCACCACCACGGACCGCCGGCGTCTCTGCGACAGGATCAACGAGCCAGGTTTCATCGGGCGGCACAGCCTCCTGGGCAAGTCGTCGGCCAACGCAAAACAGGGTGAGATGCGCCGAATGAGGAGGGCGATGGAGGCCGTGCGCCGCTTCCGCGCGTCAGACGGAGAGGCCGACAGCGCCGCCGTCATCAAGAAACTCGACGAGCTCGCTGCGTCGGGAATTGTGACCTTCTGCGATGCTCTGAAGATCATCGACGCCGACGCGCTACCGATACACACGGAGGGGAACCTGGGCATCAAGGGGCTTTCTAAGGGTGAAAAGCCCAAGCTGACGGTTGCTTGGGGACTGGTGGCGGCGGGATACATGACGCACAAGTGGGGCGAGGACATGTTCCCGACCACGTGGGAAGAGCAGAAAGCTGTGGCGGCCCAAGCGGCCGCGGAGCAGGCCGCTGGAAGACCGCCGCCGCCGCCGACGAAGACGTCCAAGCGTCGGAAGCCGGGCTGATGTTTTGTAGGGGGGGGGGGGGGTGGGGTTCGTCGCCGCTTAGCTACTTTCTTTTAGCTCGATTGTGACTTTTGTTTCCGACTTTGACTGTGGATTCAATGTTCCCAACAGTTGAGAATTTGCCAAAGAACCGAAAACATGAGGGCGTTTCATGAACAGCAAATTAACCTACGTGCTAGAAACACAGCAAAAGTGCACAATAAAAGTCAATCAACAATCTTGCTACACATTGCGACGTCGGTCCAGAACACAACGACAGACACAACAACAAAACCGATCTACGCGGCGTGCTTCCCCTTCTGTCCCTTCTTTCCCCTGTTATCCATATCCTTCTCCATCTGCTTGTCCAGCGGCACTTGAATGTCGCGTGCTCGGAGAAGGGGGCCGCCGGCGTTGCACGACCCCCAGAAAGTGAGGGTCTCGATAGTCGCCCTCGCGATAATCCCGGCGTCGGGTGTGGGGTCACAGCCCTTGCACGCCTTCCGAAGAGCATCCTTCTGCAGTGCGTCGGTGACGTTGCACGAGACCTCTCCCAGGACGGGTTGTCTCGCAACCGCCGTTTCTAGCACCGCAACCACGACGTCGTGACAAGTGTCAGCAAAATCGGTGCTCGCTTCACATAGCAGTGCCGCCGCCTTCGCTTCACCCGCCGCATTGCCGACCTCGGCCACGGTCTCGGCGAAGCACCAGACGGCGCAAGATGAAGCAGCGACAGCTTGGCCTATGCGCTTGGCATCTGCACCAGTTTTGGGGACGGCATCTGCCGCGACTGGCCCAAACGCCGCGCACAAGCAAGCGCGGTTGATGATGTCGCTGAGCTGCTGCTTGCGCTTGGCCGGCTCCCAACCAGTGCCGAACCACACCGCCGGCCTCAGCACTTTCATCAGCGGGGGCCCTGATGACTTCTTCTGTTTGAAGTCGGCGAGGACTTTCTGGAACCTGTCACACACGACGTTGGAACGTGAACGTGGTCAGTCGGCGTAAAACCCCATAGTCAAACCTATATCACGCCGCTCAAAACACATCGAGTCCCACGATTCTTACCGTGCACGAAACATGGTGGCGCCGCGGGACCACATCACCGTCCACATACCCTTCGGCATCACCTTCGCCTCCTCCCACTCCGCCTTCCACCGCGTCATTTCTTCGGCTTTAACGCCGGTCATTTCGGCCAACAAGACTTGGCTGGCGTGTCCGTCGAAGATGGTCGTCGCAACGCCGTTGAGGTACGCCACTTCCATCCTGTCGTCCGATCTCCCCGTGTAGCGACTCTTTCCAGCCAGGTTTACCTCGCCCTGCCACTCGCCACCGCTCGTCCTGTCCAGCCTAATACCATGCCCCCTGCGATCTTTCGGAACGACGGCCTTCTGCGACGCGGCGGCTTTACCCTTCCGTTTCGGCTTTTTTTCGCCGACTCCAGCCGCACGATCGGTCTGTCCATCCTTGTCGGCGTGTTCACCCACTGGTCCACCGGCCAGAACAGTGGACGTCCCCGCCTGACCCGCCAGGTCCGCAACAGTGACGCCCGCCGACCTGTCCGAAGGCCCGGCCTGGCCGGCCTGAGTAGCCACTGTAACGGCGGTGGGCCGAGTGGACTGTCCCGCCAGACCAGCCTGGTCAGAACCAGTGACGCCGCTCGGGCCGGTCTGGAAGGCCCTATCCACCTGTATGAAGCCGGCAGGATGACTCTGTATGGGCGGAACAGCCTGGACGGCCTGAGTAGCCACTGTAACGGCGGTGGGCCGAGTGGACGGTCCCGCCAGACCAGCCTGGTCAGCTCCACTGACGCCGGTCGGGCCGGTCTGGAAGGCCCTATCCACCTGTATGAAGCCGGCAGGATGACTCTGAATGGGCGGAACAGCCTGGCCGGCTACACTGACGCCGGTGGACGCCAGACGGGCCGGCTGCACGGTCTGCCCGGCCTGGGTGGACGCTGTAACACTGGCAGGCCGACCCTCCACGCCACTGATGCCCGACGTACCTCCCACAGACTGAAGTGCGGCAACTTCGTCTGCTTCCATCGCCGCTTGTATCAATTCCACATCCTCGTCCTCGATGATGAGAGGGATCTCCCCCGCACCATCGTCTCCTGCCACCGCGCCCCAATCACCTTGTCCGGACGCCGCGCCGACCTGGTGATGCGTTGGCACCGCCGTTGGAACCGTCTCGTTTAGTGTACAGGCTCCGCCAAGTTCACCGTGGTCGGCGCAATACGCGTGCCGTGAGTCTGCGGTTGAGCGGATTGTGCACCTGCTGAAAGCGCGTTGACCTCGGCCATCAGCATGTCCGAGACTGGGTCCGACGGCGTGGCAACAGCGGCAGGGAGCTGCATGGTTGGCGCTGCGCTGGTGACAGTAGTTGGCGGATGCGATGAAGGTGCCGCCGCTTGAAACGAGTTGACCGCGGCCAGAAGCATGGCCGCGACCGGGTCCGTGAGGGTCTGACCGGCGTTGTCTTGCCCCGTGGTTGGCGCTGCGACGGGCCCAGTTGTCGGCGGATCAGCAGATGGTGCTGCCGTGTGATGCGCGTTGACATCGGCCGAGACCGGGGCTGTTGGTGCTGTACCGGCGACAGGTTGCGCCCCCCCGCGAGTTGTTGGGACAGCGGCGTTGTCGATGGCGACGGGCTGCTGCTGCGATGGCGCCTGAAAAGCAAGAAGCTCCTCCATCAACGCTCTCGCCACGGGATCATCCTCCACGCCGAGATCGCCCGTGTCCTCCACGCCGAGGGCGCCCGTGTCCCCCCCCACGCCGACCACAGGAACCTGGTGAGTCTGATCGCCGATTAACGGAGCCTCAACTTCGAATGGCGGCCCGCGATCAACGCCTGTCGGGAACAACCCGGCGTTGGTACTGGCACCGGTCGCCGTGTTGATGGTAGGTATCGCCGCGTCGGCCTGCACTTCAACCGATTCAACGGCGACGTTACCACGATCGGACGGCGGTGGTGCTACCTCGCTTGCTCCAGGACGTGGAATCTCCGGACCTTTCCTTCCACCGCCGTGAGTGGAAGACCCGCCGGCTCGCACACCCTCCTCGGCGGCAGTCCTGCCCTCCGAGCTGCCGCCGGCTCCGCCTCTACTTTGCGGGCCAAGGAGCCGAGTTGTCGCCCCTTTTCTCCTCAGCATGTCGAGGACGGGAGAACCGGACTGGGCACGATCTGGAACGTCGCCGCCGACTGCTCGCTCCCCACCAACACCTTTACTCCGCTTCGAATTTCCCGCGTTGTCGCCGTCGGCTGCACTTCCGCTGCCAGCCCTTTTATCCGGCCTTTGCCTTTGCGCGGTCTCCAGGTCGCCGGCCGACGGGGACGAACCACGCCGCCCCAGCCTCATTGTAGCAAGCACGTTGGGCAGAAGCGTGAAGCCGACGGTTCCCAGCGCCTGCTGCGTGACGGCGGTTACCGCCTGAACAATGTCATCCCTCATTGCTTTGATGACTTCTTCAGGCAGCGCGGGGGATGGACCGGGCGGGGGCGGCGCGATGCTGCGGGATAAGCTGCCGACGATGTTGGTGGAAGTTGAGGCTAACTTGGTCTGGATGTAATCGGCCAACACCGCCTTAACGTTATCCCCCACGCTGGTCACGTGGTTCCCCAACCGCACGTCGGCATCACGGCGGGCGACGGCCAGCTTGTCCAAGCCCTTTGTGATTTCCCCCAACAACGGCGTCGCCATGCTGCTGCACGCCTTGACCGGAGCAACCCGATCATCCAGCACCTTGGTGAAGACGCCGGTCATGGCTGCTGTGGCTGTGGAGATGTGTGTCCCCGCGGTCTGCTCGGCGGCGGCGACGCGTTCGGTAAGCGACTTGACAGCCGCGAGGCACTCAGCCGCCGTCGCCAACAACCCCTCCGTCCGACCCCTCTCGGTAACCAGATCCGACCGCAGCCCCGCATTCTCGTCCCTCAGTTTCTTGTTCTCCTCTTCCAGTCGCTTCACGTGAGCAAGTGCGGCTGCAAACGCCGACTTTGAAGATGTGGTCGACGCAGGCTGACCATGCACCGGCGCCTTCCTACGAGACTTGTCCCCAGCCGACGCTGCAGTTGCGCCTGTCCCGCCGGTCGACGTCGGGTCACGACCAGCACCGTGGTCGGCGTCTGTGTCCGCCTCAGCACCAACAGCCTTCTTCCCTGCACGCTCCTCCTCCTCCTCTTCATCCTCCTCCTCCTCGGATCCCGACTCTGACTATGAGTCAGTAGATGACTCCTCAACGGACCCTGCCCTCCGCTCCTCTCCTCCTACCAAGTCGGCCTCGCCACCGCCGCCAACATGACCGCTAGTTCTAGTGTCGTGCGCGCCGGAATACGCCGGGCGATCCACGCCAGCTTGAGACGCCGTCTTAGTTTCGATTCCGTCGTCGTCGAGGGGGTTGGTACTTGGCCCAGTAGGGTGATTGGCCGGCGCCGACCGCCTCTCAGCAACGCATCTCTTGACGTATTCCACTAGCGCCGATTTGAGTGCCCTCAACCCCTGAACCATCGGGTTCTCAGCGCTCGCCGGTGCACGTGACTTGAGCAGGGCTCCGCGCTCTCTGACCACCCATCCGAACGCGCTCACAGCATGCAATCCGGTGCCGACCTGCTCGTTCTTCACAATGTCCGGCAATCTCTGCGTACAACCGTTGCAAGGGCAAGCTAGGTGAGCCGAGGTAAGCACAGTTAGACGACCAATTAAAGTTGGCTACAAGGTCGACAGAAACTCACGTCGCGCGTGGGCCCGTCGCAACCGGCGAGTCGAGCCACCGCGACCTACTCAGCGGGAGGCGCCCACTTCCATGTCCTGTCACTTCTTCCAAGCTCGGCCAAAACACAGCGCCGGAAAAAGCTGCAACAGCTGTGCACGAAAGAGTCAGTGGGGACGCCATCGAGAAACCAGTAACCTGGTAAAGAGCCTTCCCAATTTAAGCATGCCTACCTCAGCACGGCGAGCGCCTCAGACGAATGCAGTCGGTTTGCAGTCTTCGGGTCCAGGTGGCGGAACGAGGTCTCGCTGTCGACGTCGACGGCCTTCAGCAAGTCGCCGGGCCGAAGAACCACGACGTGTCAGAAACAAGAAGTGTGTGAACTATGAAAAGTTGGAGTACAAGTAGCAAACCCTAGTTTTGTGTACCCCCTAAAGGCTAACCCACTATAGCCTACACAACAACAACACATACAGTGTTTGACACACCCCCATAGGCAAAGTGGGGGAGAGCAAGGGGTCACAAGACCAGTCAGGAAAGGCAAGCAAGCTCAGGGTGGATCACAACGTCACCACACATTCCGAGCACAAGCAAAGGGCCACATGGCCAGTTCACATGCAGAAGTATATATGTAGTACAAACAGCAAGGGTGATCTCAGCCTAGCAGAACAAACAGGCAGGAGTATATATAGAGATCACAGTACAGGCAAAGCCTACAACAAGTGAGGAAAAGTGGGCACCAGCCCCAGCAATGTACAGAAGCGCTGATGATCACCAGGCTGAAGTGCCTTGGTGAATATATCAGCGGTGTTGGCCTGAGAGGCCACGTAACGCAGACGAAGCTGACCACGCTGCTGCAGCTCTCGAGCAAGGAAGTAACGGAGAGCGATGTGCTTCGTTCTGTGCTCCAGTCTGTGCTCCTCACACAAGGCAATGGCAGCCTTGTTGTCGACGTACAGCACTGGAGGAGAACTAGGCCTCTCTCCAAGGTCGGTCAGCAGGTAGGTGAGCCAGCGTAACTCCTGTGCAGCCATGGCTGTGGCGTAGATCTCAGCCTCACAACTGGAGCTGAGAACTGAAGACGAACGCGTAGAGCGCCACGAAACTGAACCAGAACCAAGGCTGAAGGTGTAACCCTGTGACGACCGCTGAGTAGCCTGGTCGTCAACCCAAGAAGCATCTGAGTGCCCAGTGAGAACAACTAAGCTCCCTCCTCCAAGCACGAGCCCCATGCCCGATGTACTGCACAAGTAGCGCAATACCCTCTTTGCAGCATCCCAGTGCACCTTTCGGTGCCTGCCAGGAGCTACGTAGCGGGCCAGAAGGCCAAGAGGGTATGCTAGGTCAGGACGAGTGCAAGTCATCAGGTACATGAGGCAACCAACTAGCTCTGGGTAAGGACCACTCGACTCTACGGACTCATCCGAAGGCAGAGCTGAGAGCGGGTGACCTACAGCCAGAGGAGTGGCCTGTGCTGAGGACCAGGTGAAGCCGAAGCGCTGAAGGACCTGCTGCACCATGTGTGACTGAGTCAGGGTAATGGTGCGGCGTGCTCTGTCCCGGGTGATCTGCAAGCCAAGGTAGCTGCGCAGTTCACCCAGGTCTGTGCACGTGTGTCTCTTCTGCAGCTCCGACTTCACGTGGGCGAGAGACTCAGTGTCAGCAGTGGCAAAGACCAAGTCGTCGACGTACACGAGGACGTAGAACGGCGGCAGCGAAGTGTCGGTGCGCAGAAACAGCGACGGGTCAGCAGTAGAAGGAGAGAACCCAAGTGCCGCAAGAGTAGTCCTCAGTGTGTCGTGCCACTCACGTGGCGCCTGGCGGAGACCGTAGACCGGCCGCGGGAGGCTCCACTGGGTACCAGGAGGAAACGACCCAGTGAAGCCAGGAGGGCGGCGCAGCCAGATCTCCTCGTGCAGAATGCCCTGCAAGAAAGTTGTGCTGAAGTCAAGAGAGTGAAGCTCGTAGTCACGCTGAGCAGCAACGTGCAGTAGTACCCGAAGAGTGGTCATCTTCGGGGTGGGGGAGAAGGTCTGAAAGAAGTCTACTCCCTCTCGCTGACTGAAGCCTCGAGCAACGTAACGAGCCTTGAAGACAGGCGGAGAACCCGGTGGCCGCTTCACCCTGAAAATCCACATGCCACTGACGATGTTCGCCCCAGGTGGGGGAACCTCGTCGACGTAGGTGCCTGTGGACTTCCAGGAAGCCATCTCTGCGTCCATGGCTGACTGCCACTGTGAGGAGTAGGGACCCTCGATCGCCTCAGCGTACGATCGAGGAGTCGGGATGTCTGGTGCATCCGGGTCTCCCTCAGGGGCAATCTGCATGGACACGAGATGGGGCGCAGCGGCTGCAAGACACTCAAGGTCCTCCTGTCTGTCCTCAAGGACGTCCGTGCTAAGAGCACACTCACCCCCGACGGACGGAGGACAGACAGACTCAGACTCAGCAACAAGACTGGCAGCGTAGTCTAGACGACAGCGAGCAGCAAAGTCGACAAGCTCAGCAACTAGGGCAGACGCAGCAGCCGACTCAAAAGAAGGGTCAGTGACAGCAGTGGCCAGGAGACGCGTGACAGTAGGACTGGCAGCACGAACGGAGTCAGACTCCGGGTCAGCAAGGGTAGGAAGAGAGGACTGAGGAGGAGACGGCAGAGGGACACGCTGTGGAGCAGTGGAGGGACGCAGGGACATCCGGTGTGTGCCAGGGACAGGTGGCGGACGCTCACGTGGTACACGGCGACTAGCGGAAGCAGTACGAACAGGTGACACAGGACGGGACACAGGTGACACAGGACGAGACTCAGGCTCACGACGCTCTGTAAGCCCGCCTGTCGGACCAGTGTAGGGAGAAGGACCAGGAAGCGGCGAGGCAGGCGGTAGCTGTGACTGCGACTGGACAGGCGGAGGACACTCTACGGAGGGAGGAGGACTAGGAGGAGGCGGCAGACCAAGAACCTGCTGAAGGAGCGGAACGAAGTACGGCCGCGGCCGTGAAGTGCCCCCAGCAGCAGCAGAGACAGAGAACCTCCAGCAGCTCCAGCAGAACCTCCAGCAGCTCCAGCAGCACCTCCAGCACCTCCAGCAGGACCTCCAGCAGCTCCAGTACCTCCAGCAGCTCCAGCAGCACCTCCAGCAGCACCTCCAGCATTACCTCCAGCAGCTCCAGTACCTCCAGCAGCACCAGCAGCACCTCCAGTAGCTCCAGGACCTCCAGCAGCTCCAACACCTCCAGCAGCACCAGCAGCACCAGCAGCACCAGCAGGAGCTCCAGGACCTCCAACAGCAGTAGGGTCTCCAGCGGGCTGCACCTCAACACCGGGAGCTCCACTCCGGAGGCTGCAGCGCCGAGCGTACCACTCACGCAGCCGCTGAGGGGAGGGAGGCTCCGGCTGCGACACGGCACCCGCAGGACCACTAGTCCCAACTCCAGTAGACCCCCCAGCTCCAGTAGCCCCACGACGGAGGCTGTAACGCTGGGAGTACCACTCACGCAGCTGCTGTGAAGAAGGAGCGCCAGCAGGCGCAGTACGGTCAGTCTCAAAGCCCCCAGCCTCAGCACCTCTAGGCGCAACACCCCCAGTCGCAGTACCTCCAGGCTCAGCACCCGCAGTCTCCGCACCCCCAGTCTCAGCACCCCCAGTCTCAGCACCCTCAGTCTCAGCACCCCCAGGCTCAGCGCCCCGAGACCCAGCACCTCGCACAGGACCAGAGTCAACAGCTACCTCGACAGGCTCGACCGGGTCTACCTGGGAAACACCTGAGGGAGCAGGACCCTGGGGAGGGAGGGGGTCTACCGAAGCAGCACCTGGCGTGAGGAAGAGCGGCGGAGGGGGGAGCGGGGCAGTGCGGTAGGGGAAGAGACGGTAAAAGGGTACCGACTCGTTAAAGGTGACGTCCTGAGAGGCGAAGACCCGGCGCGAGGTGGGGTGGTAAAACTGCCAGCCAGGCGCGTCAGGGACAAAGCCAAGGAAGACACAGGGAACGGCACGGGAGGAGAGCTTGTCCGCGGACGTATCGCGGACAAAGGCTCGACATCCCCAGACTCGGAACACCAACGCATCGCCAACCTCCCCCGTCCAACGCAGGGTAGGCGAGGTCTCCGGAACAGAGACACGGGGCCAGAGGTTGAGCTGATGCGCGGCGTACTGCACTGCAAACGGCCACAGGAAATGGGGGGCAGCCGCATGGATCATGGAGGTACGAGCGACCTCCATGACAAGACCAATGCGGCGCTCAGCAATCCCATTCTGCTGTGGAGAGGCCGGGACCATGAACGACTGGGTGATGCCGTGCTCCGCACAGTAGGCTGCCAAGAGGTCAGAGGAAAACTCGCCACCTCTGTCAGAGTGCAGACGCAGGACTGGAAAGTCCGACTGGAACCGCTGGCAGAGCTGGAGACGAGCAGCGCGGATCCAGGGGATCAAGACATCAGGGACCTCACCCTTGGTACGCAAGGGGAAGACCGTGGTGTAGCGCGTGTAGTCGTCGACGACCAGCAGAAAGTACCGCTCGTGGCCCTGTCCCCGGACGCGGGCGGGGCCCCACACGTCCAGGTGGAGAGTCTGCAGGGGAGCCTCTGTGGGAGGGAACGAGGAGGAGTGAGGAGCGGCGCGCTGCCGCCCCTCGACACAGGGAAGACAAGGAGGAGCAGGCGAGGGTGGGAGGGGAGGGAGAACCCTGGGAAGACCAGAGACAAGGCACCTGGAGTGCATGCCGCGAAGGCGTTGCACTGACGGGTGACCAAGGCGGTGGTGCCAGAGGACAGTCCTGTGTGACAGGGAGCGACACGAGCAGGG